TCCCTTTTTTTTTAAAAAAAAAAAAAAAAAAAAAAAAGGATTGTACTTGTTTTCCCTAGCCCTCCTTGCTGTACAGTGATGTCCTGCCAGCCAGAAGTTACAGGGTTTGTTGTCCTCTGTCACTTCACCATAAATACAGAAGCTACTTGCTCTTTGTCCCTTATATCAAGAATATATTGTTGTTCCAGTTTACTCCTGTTATGCTATATTGTCACTTTAGTGTGTGATCCATTTGAATGGAATGCACGTGTCCATGGTGTTTGTCAGCTCTGTTTTGCTGGTTCTCCATTTTATTTCCATTGGGATTCTGAAACCATTGCTGATAGAGCTGTAAAGTTACTGCAGACTTCTGACTGACTGAAGGCATTTGTCTTTATGTCAATGTATGATTTAGATCACTGAAATATAGACCAGAAAGAGACGACATCAATTCTGACTGGACCTGTTGGAGAAAAAAAAAAGTGTTAAAAAAAATTGCCTTGCTTAAAAGTTAAATAAACTGTAATATTTCTTGTGAAGAGAATTTCCACTGTTCATGTGTTTGGTTTGTGGTTACTTATTATCAAATTGTTACAGGAGAAACAGGAGACTCTACCCTGTATTTTCTTAGTCACATAACTGTGCAAAACATTAGTCTACTAAAATGCAGCCAGATGGTAGTGGTTTAAAACATGCTTTTCCATCAGCTCATTTATATTAATGCTGTAACTGTAATATATATGAAGTAAAACTTACTTGGAATCTCTCTTTCCTTTTCCTTACTTTATCCAGCACTTAAAATATAGCTGTTCTATATATAGATATAAATTGATGTTGTCACTTTCATAATGGGCAGTTGTAACTGTTTAAGAGTTAATGGTTTGAAGAACTGCAGAGTTACTATTGCATGACTATGGGAATGTTCTTATGATGATTTTGGACCTTAATTAAATTCTGCACGTGTCCTGTAGAGTTTCACAGCCCACTGTAGCCTGAAGTTTGTGTTCATTCTTCACTTGCATGCTACTCATGAAATTTGGGAAAGGTCACTACTTCTGCATTTGTTTGTTCCTCTCCTTCCTTACTTTGTGCTACACTGTACTACCGTGTAATGCTTCAGATTAAAATCAAAAACAAAGTCTACCAGTTCTGTTCTGACTCTGTTTTTTAATTGTAGGCTTCTCTGTATGATGAGAGTATTTACAGTGGGAGTCGTCGGTATAGTGCTTCTAGTTCTCGTGCTGTAAGATGTTTTCTGCATTTTTCTGTTGGCTTGTCATCTTTGTTTTAGTATCACCTGTGTTTCTATAGAGTATAGTTTTCTCTGTATCAGTGGAGTGTATAGGATCACGGGCTTGTCAGTTGATACTGGTGAATTGTGTAGACAAGACTGGGAGCATCGCCCCTACAAATCTTACTATGGAGAGTCACTGGAGTCGAAACACTTTGCTAACTTCCTGGAATTGTCCCTTGTATAGGTGTCCCCTGATATATCCATACAACTTGACAATAAGGGGTTTCCATTTCTGGGATGAGGAATTTTAACTCTGCCTTTTCATTTGCTTACTGATAAGGAAAGTAAAAATGCAGGAAAAATATCACCTTTTTCTTAGGCTCCACTCTCTTTTGAAATGAATTTGATTAATTTAATTCACTATTCCAGTGCTAACATATTACTGTGTAAAACATGTAGTGCAGAATTATGTAGATTTCTTACTGCCTTAATCATGTTTTGTGGGTTCACATTTTCTTGAAGCTTGATATACTAAGAGATGAGAGGAAGATCACCGGAATGCATGCTAGGCTAAGTAAAGGGCTTGCTTAGTGGAGTTATTTATGGGAGGAAGAAACTTCCATTTTTTTAAATCTGATCCTGCTAGAAATAACCATTTATTGACACCTAATTAACAGTCATTCAGTAGCTTATGAAAATGATTGGGGCACTTACTAAACAGATTTTTTTAAATCACTATTGCCGTTAGCACATTTGACAGTTGCAAAAAGTAAGCAAAAGATTGAATAACTAGACATAAAAGCACCCCCTATCTCTTCTGAGGTTGTCTCTTCATGTCAGAATTGGGCATATTGGTGGGAAGCATGAGAGAAACTTACTTATTATTGCCTCTGTTCTTAAATGTACAAGTCTTTCTTTTCAATGCAGCCTTTGTGGAAGTGTTGTTTCTTTTTTGCATTATTTTTCACTAATTAAAAAAGAGAGCATTTAACGCTCCTTTACCTATTAGAAATGTCATTTTATTAGCCTGTAAAAATACTACCTGTATATTTTGAATAATAACTCAGCTAATATTTTTCTTTGTCTTATTTGACATTGTTGCAGTTGAAATGACTTGTTAATACTTGGTATCTTTATCAGTATCCTTTTCTTCAAATGTCTTTGTTTCACACATCTTTCCTTTTGAGGGGGTATTTTCACACTGTTGCTAACTATGATGATCAGTTTAGTCAGTAAGCCAATAAATTTGCCATCTGGATAGTGCAGATTTATGTCTGATGCTAGCAAATTGCCCATCAAGAATGGCGGGGGGTGCCAGCAGGGACAGAGCCCCGCGCCCCCCCTTCCCACCACCTCATCGGGTCTAACCCTGCTCCTTTCCTCCCACCTGTCACTGGGTCT